CAATTTCCTCTTCATCATCAAATAGCTCCATGAACAGTTAAAAAACGAAAAATTGGTCCACGTCTTCTCCTCTCTTCATACAGAGGTAGACGCGTGGACCATCACCCGGGAGAGACCCATGCCGCCACTGCTGCCTCCACTGTCGCTAGCACGTTCTGAAGCAGCATCATCACAACCACTAGCATCATCAATATTCTGTTCATCACTAGCGTCACCGTCATCATCATCATCATTATCATTGTTGTGATCATCATAACTGGTTTTCACATCAGCAGCAGCAGGAGTGGTTGGCAGCAGCAGCATCAATGACAGTGTCAGTGTAGCATTATTGATAACAATACTATTTGCCTATATATAAGGAAAAAATAAGTTAAAATAATAGAAAGAGAGAGAGAGAGAGAGAGAGAGAGGGAGAGTACAGCTTCAGTCAATCTTTTTGGTTAGTTTAACCAACTCACTAAAAAATGGATGAGTATATATTTGTACCCTGGTTCTGGAGACAGATGAAGACAAAAGAAAAATAGAGAGAGATGTTGAGAAAAATGTATTTAAGATATAGAAATGGTGAAAGTTACTGAGAGAGTTAGTTAAGAATGAGAACAAGAGAATAATTAGGCAGAGATAAAGAAAGAGAATTGATTAACATGAATAAAGAGAAAGAAAGAGAGTAAAAACTAGAGACTGGCTTATTGCAGAGAAAGAGTGAGAAGAAATAGCGATATACACAAAGAAAGAACAAGAGAAAAAAAATAACAGTGGGAGAAGAAGAGAGATGAACTAAAATATATAACGAATTGGTAGGGAATGAGATAGGGAGGGAGAAAAAGAGAGAGAAAAAGAAAGAGGGAGAAAAAAGAAAAGGAGAGAGCAAATGAAAAAGACAAAAGAAAAGAAAAGGAGAAAAAAACTAGATATAAAAAATGAAGATAGAGAAAAAATGCTGTAGAGTAGAAAAGCAGAGGGAAAGTGATAGAAAGAGAATGGGTCAAAATAGAGAGAAGGAGAATGGGTCAAAATACAGAGAGTGAGAAAGAGACTTGGTCAAAATAGTGAGTGAAAAAGAGAATGCATCAAAATAGAGAAAGAAAAGAGAATAGGTCAAAATAGAGAGAGTGAGAATGGGAAGGGGTCAATATAGATAGAAAGAGAGAGAGAATAGGTCAAATCAAAGAGAAAGGCAGTGGAAAAAAGAGATGAAGAGAGAGAGAGAGAGAGAGAGAGATACAGAGAGAGAAAGGGGGAGGGAGAAAACACCGAGTTCACAGAGACAGGGAAGATGAAAACAGATGCTGAAAACGAAGAAGAAACACTTGGTCGCTATTGCAGTAGACAGAAACATGCTGAAGCTGCTGCTGCTGCTACAGAAAGGTGACAGCGACAAAGTAAGAAACTGTGGCAAAGAGGCGAGGAGAGAGTGGGGGATGAGGAAGGGAAGGACAATAGTAAAATGGGGGGGGGTGAAGTGCGGGTGACAGCATGAGGAAACAGTAGTCTTTCTTATTTAGAAGACTCTTCATATCACAAGCACCCTGACTTACTACCATTATTCACACCGATCATTGCCCCCCACCCCCGCCACTATACCCACCCACGTACATCAAGCAAAAATGACATCAGTCAATGACTGAATTGGTGATAAAATGGCTCAGCCTCTCCAGCAGGTAGCTGAGAGGGAGTCCATCAGGTACCTACACCCAGAGAGAATGTGAAAAGGGGGTCAAGTTAGGGTAGCTTTTTCATTTTTTTAATGGGCATCAGCTGTTAACTCCTTCTTAAAACTTATGATTTACATGCAGAAAATTATTAGTAATTTTTGATTGATATTTTCTGTCATCTTAATTTCAGTTGCTTTTTATCAGGTACTCCAAATCGGTGTTTCTCATTCGCTTGTAAGCACCACATATCTGCATAAAACCTGTGCTTCTTACTCAGTAAACCTCTACCTCGAGTGCTGCTCAGGCCTTGTACATCATTGTTAAAAAAAAAAAGAAAAAGGAAAAAAAAATCAATATGGAGATGAGATGAGGAATAAACCTCCAATGGGATTTGAATTCTTATCCTTTACCTTCAGAAACCTACAATTAACCCTTAAACAGTGAGAAAAAGCTTGCACAAATGTTTATACCAAATGAGTAAAAAAAAAAAAAAAAAAAACTAGAAAATTAATTTTTTAAAGAGTAGTTTTTGTGCTTATTTTAACTTTAATTAAACACTAAAGCTATAAAAATGTTATTTTAACTCTTAGAAAATAAAAATAATATTTTTCATTAATTGATTTGTTTTTTATGGCTTATCAGCCATTTGTGGGTTATTTAAAGTTGAAACATATTATGGATTGTAAGAATAATTTGTTTTTTGCAAGTGGATATTGCATTAAAAAATCTTTGAGAATAAAAAAAATTCCAAGATGGGGGGTGGGGAGATGGATTCCTACTTTTCCCAAGGGTATTTGCGTGCAAGTGTATATAACGAACCTGATTGGAATTTGAACCCAGCTCTCTCATTTCTCATCCTGAGCCTTTATCCATTATACCACCTGCATATCCATAAAAGGAAATAAAAAAAGAAGTGAAATAAAACAAATATTACTTTCTTAAATTTATTACTTTTTTAACAGGATTATACTCTTTGTTACATTGATATGATGCAATGATATTCTGTATTCATTGCACTAAGTTGTTAACATTTTTTATCGCTTTTCTCTTTTGCATGCAGACATAGCGCTGTTTTTGGATCATACTTCCAGCTTTATTTGCAGACCAATACTCCAGGATATGACGGACCCTAATGTATGTCGCCAATTAGTCATTCAGACCCAGACTATGAATGAATGATGCCCTGTAGCATTGGTAAAAGTTTAAGTTATCAAGTTATGGTATCTGCTAATTTATCTTTTAAGGGTAGTTTTGACATTCATTTTAGATTTAATTGCATACAAAAACTATAAAAATGATATCTTGTTTTGATTATACAAAAGAAAACAATAAAAATAAAACAAATGTTATATTCCTAAATGAATTATTTTTAACAGTATAATACCTCTTGAAGCATTCTCTGCACAACTCTGTTGCACATTCTTTGCACCAAGTTGTCAACATTTTTCACCTCTTTTCTCTTCAAGAAGTTTGCATGCAGGCAGAACACTTTGGCTTGTTCTCTCAGGTTTATTTGCAGGTAGATACTCCAAGAAATGAATGAATCCTAATAAATAGTAAACTATTGGTCAATTACACAAGAATCATGAATTTTTCTTTTTTTTTTTTTTTTTTAGAGAAGTGTTTCAAATTTTATATAGCTTAAAGCCATAGCAGGTGACAGTCCAGCCATGAATGTGTACTTCGGTCTTCTTAATTCTTGTTCTTTTACTGTTATCTCTCCTTAATAGTGTTTTTTTTTCTCATTTTCTAACACTCAGTAACCCCTTTCATCTTAGTGGCTTTATTGCCTTGCTTGGAGTGAAATAATTTTTTTTTTTAAAAAAAAGGAGAGCAAGAGAAATTCATTTTGAGGTTTATTTTAGTTTTAGTTGCATATAGAAATTATAAAAATGATATCTTGTTTTAATTATACAAAAGAAAAAAGCTAAATAAAACATGTTATATTCCAAAATTAGTTATTTTAACCATATGATACTCTTGGAATAAAGTTCAGTATTTTTTGCACCATGTATTCACCATTTTCCACCTCTTTTCTCTTAGAGAGATATGCATGAAGGCATAGAGCCATGTTTGTTTTGTTCTTCCAGCTTTTCTTGCTGGCGAAAACTCTAGTAAATGAGGTAACCTCATGAATTCTAGCCTTGCGAGTTAATCAAACTTGAATCATGAATAAATGATATTCATATTGTTGGAAAAAGTTTAAAATCATCAACTGATGATATCCGCTGATTACCAGTGAAACATCAACTTAAAGTGACAGCTGTCATGCCACTGTTTTACTGCTGTCTTGCCATGATAGGATGTGAAGGTGGTGTAATATTTAGTGGCTTGTAATGAGAGAGAAATCAGAGAACCAAGTTCGAATTAAGGTTGTGGTTGTTACATTTACTCATGTGCAAATATTCTTGGTAAAGTTATCAATTCATCTCCTTTTCCCCCAGTTATGGGTTAAATAATAGATTTTGTATCTAGAAAAATTATTGTTAATTCATTCACCAAAAAATAACTGCTATAATACATAATATATTTTGGCTTTAAATACTCCAGAAATAAACCATTGATAAACCATAAAAAGAAAATTAAACAAATCTGTTCGTTACCATAATAGCCTAATTGATAAGGCAGCTGTTGAGTTAAGATGGTTTCTCAAAGGTAAAGAATATGAGTGCAAGTCCTGTTTAAACTTAATTCCTCATTCATAATGATTCATCAACATCCTGGAATTAGTCCCGGGTATGACGATAAAATTATGTACAACAGCAAGGCCTCTGATCGGGAGGTTGGAGGTTTTGAGGAGCATGAAACCCTCTATTAATTGCTGTTTTTCCCAGGTCCATCCTGACCCAGGGTGCACCAGTTAAGGTTCCAGCTATGGGCAAATAGCGAACACCCAAACAAAACAATATGAAAGTATATAAGTACAAATTTTATAGTAAAAACTAGAAGCATGGCCCGGCATTGCCCGTGCTTGATTCAAAAATCGTACAACTCATACAACAATCACTATCACTTGACTTAAAATATTTTTGCCCTTCCTTGCCTTTAAAGGAGTGCCCTTTGCCCTGCTGATGTTGCTACATGCCTTACTTCTTGCCTATCTCACACTGCAAATTTTTTCTAAGCTCTATACTAAACATTAAATCTGTTACGAAAAAAAGAACTAAACAAAATGAACACAAAACGATCAGCTTTAAAAAAGGACTCATAACTGGAAAAACTGAATGAAAAAAGAATGTTAACAACAAATACTTTTTCACACCCAACCCAGTTCTGGGGAATCAGAATCAACGTTGAGTTTAAGCAAGCGAATGAGCCAATTGGAATAAAGTGCCATGCAGATTAAATTTTTCCCACTTGTGATGAATGCAGCTATTAATTTTTTTGCATGCTAGCATGCTAGTTAACATTCATGTCAGTCAGCTGTTGGCTCTCATGCTGGCCAATAGAATCTTCCTGCCTATTCGTCGCAGCCAGCTATAGGCTCTCACTCTGGCCAGTAGAAAATGGCTGCAAACTACATGAAAACTGCCATAGAAGCATGAAAAAATCGATTATTTCCACTATCGATGGGAGTTGGGAAATGCAATATCAGTCTTGGCCTTCCCACTAATCTGGAGCATGTGCATGTAAATTTTGGTGCAAATCCATTTAAAATTGCGGCCGTGCATTTGTTACACACACACACACACACACACACACACGCACACATCCTGCCTTTTATAGATAGAGATTGCCAACAATACCTATTTATAGTAAAATGACCAGTAATACATTTTATCATAGAATTATCAAGAATACATTCTATCTGTAGTTCAAGGCATAAAATTACACTCAAAATATTTAGATTTCGGCATTAAATGATTCATCTAGATGTTGATATGCTGCTAAACAAAAATCAACCAAGCAACCATCCTGAAATGATCATCTGGGAGGTGCAATTATAATAAAAGAAATACTAATCAAAAAATAATAATAAATGACAATGCTTCATTTAAGACAGTGATTCTCAATGTGTGTTACAATCCCCTTAGGGGTGCTGTTAACTCCCAAGGGGGTGGTAGGTGTTTAAGGGTGATGGGTGGGTGGTGTTATCTTAACAGCACAGTAAGACTAACTCTTAACACATGGGAAAATAGTGTTACAGGTATTGGCTCAGAAAGTATAATTTGTGAGCCAGGTTCAAATTCTAGTCCCATCTTTACCCAGGAAAAACCTCCAAGTTAAATATCTGAACAAAAAAACATGTACTTAAATATTTAAAGACATAAAAATAATGCATATTTTCACTAATATATATTTACTCAGCTCATGATCTCTCTATCTCTCTGTACATTGACATCAGTTTGTTAATATTTTTTATCACATGTAATGTTTTCAGTTGTGTATTGTGCAAGATTAAAAACTTTTCATGAGATAGAAAGATATAAACAAAGACAGATATATAGATAATGGACAAAAGATAGTTATACAATGAAGATGGATAATCAATAAGAATAGATATATAGATAATGAAGGTAGATAATGAATAAAAATAGATAGATAACTAAGATAGGTAATAAGTAAAAGATATATAGATCATGAACAAAGATAGACAGAGATAGATAATGAACAAAGATATATATATATATATATATATATATATATAACAGTGATAGATAATGAACAAAAGATAGTTAGATAATGAACAAAAGATAGATAGATAATGAACAAAGATATATATATATATATATATATATATATATATAACAGAACATATGAACAAAAGATAGCTAGCTAGATAGATAATGAACAGAGATAAATAGATAGACAAATAGACAATGAACAAAGATAGATAGATAGATAGATAGACAATGAACAAATATAGATAAACAAATAGACAATGAACAAAGATAGATAGACAATGAACAAATATAGACAGAGAAATAAACAATGAACAAAGATAGATAGATAGACAATGAACAAATATAGATAAACAAATAGACAATGAACAAATATAAACAGAGAAATAAACAATGAACAAAGATAGATAGATAGATAATGAACAAATATAGATAGATAGACAATGAACAAAGATAGATAGACAAATAGACAATGAACAAAGATAGATAGATAGATAGACAATGAACAAATATAGATAGACAAATAGACAATGAACAAAGATAGATAGCTAGACAATGAACAAATATAGATAGACAAATAGACAATGAACAAAGATAGATAGATAGATAGACAATGAACAAATATAGATAGATAGATAGACAATGAACAAATATAGATAGACAAATAGACAATGAACAAAGATAGATAGACAATGAACAAATATAGATAGACAAATAGACAATGAACAAAGATAGATAGCTAGACAATGAACAAATATAGATAGACAAATAGACAATGAACAAAGATAGATAGATAGACAATGAACAAATATAGATAGACAAATAGACAATGAACAAAGATAGATAGCTAGACAATGAACAAATATAGATAGACAAATAGACAATGAACAATGATAGATAGATAGACAATGAACAAATATAGATAGACAAATAGACAATGAACAAAGATAGATAGCTAGACAATGAACAAATATAGATAGACAAATAGACAATGAACAAAGATAGATAGATAGATAATTTTATTCTTAAACTAAAGTTTTACAAATTCTGACAACTCCTGAACTGAACCCTGAATTGCAAAGAGATATTTTAATACGTATGATAAATAGGGTCAAAATATTAATCATTAAAAGAAAGAAATCAATGCAAGCTGCAATTTCATTGCATAAATTGCAAGAGAAATAAATACAGATATTCAGTTGAAAAATATTGACGAGATTTTAGAAAAAAATTTAATTGGACATATTTGGCCAGCAATCCAGCATCAGTTAAAATGTTTCCAAATTGTCTTAGATATTTTCCATTTCATCAGATTTCATCCAAATATCAATCATGTTCAGTTGGTCTTTGTAAAAAGGCTGATATTTGACTGCCTGTTTGGTTATAGATGGATGTTGATAAAAGTCTGTATAAAAGCAGTAACAGTAAGTTCATTGATATTCCATTCTAAGAAAGTGATTAATTGGAAACTAATTTATAAAGCATATAGATAGCATACATACTTACATACTGACATACCCATATCTGCATTCACACACACATACATCTATATGTAAAATTTCTTCTTGTAGTATACATCAACTACAGAATAACATCTACCATGAAATTGACCAATTCCTGTAGAGTTTAGACAGTACTTATTCTTAAATATTATTGTAAAAAGATATAACAATGTTACTAAGCAACTGTGGGACACAGAAAATTTCTCGGCTAACCAGCAGGTCCCAGGGTTTTGTTAGATTTTGGTAAGTGAACTAGGCTGAGGACTTTTCAAGACCATTTGTATTTATATATATTTTTTGTCATACAGGTCTTCTTCACATGTCGAAAGGTTATTGTATTTCCTTGCTGAATTTTTGAACTGATTCAGTCCTTATCAAATCATGAAATGAAGGTTGTCTTGAATGGCCACTCTTCTAGATTTTTTCATTAATTCAGATGTCTCCCAGGGTTCTATTCTTGGACCTACATTGTTCCTAATTGTGATGGTGACTTATCTACATTAGAATGAACTCTTCCTCCTTCATAAATACTAACCTGCGAGACTTCCTAAGCAGGCAGCCGGGATGCAGTGTAACCTGGTAGTTCGGACGGACACTTCTATCTGCTGACTAATAACACTCTTATTTTGTATATATGTTCTGTTATTTCAATACACATGTTCAACCTACTTTCTTCTTTCCGTGTCTTTCTTTCTGCCCTTAACAGGCCACAACACTAATTTATATCAATGACATCATCAGTTCACAACTTGGTATGTATGCTGATGACACAACTACTTAATAGTCAGTCTGAGCAGTTCGATAAGGTCAAATATACAACTGATCTAAAAAATGACCTGCAATCTGTTGTTAACCTTAGCAAGGAATGACTTATTAATTATAATGCCCCCAAAATGAAACTATTCTCTTTTAATCACCTGAGAGAACCTTTTTTGCCTTCCACCATTATGGCTGATGTTGACCTACAGGAGAGTGACACATTGCTCCTTCTTGAGCCAACATTTTCCACGAAAATAAAGTGGAAAAATTACATTGAATAAATTTGCTAGGTTAACTGCTAGGAAAGTTAGTTCACTGTGTTGTTCTAGATAATTTTTCTTGCCAGAATCTATCTTAAACATTTATAAGTCTACCATTCGTCCATGCATTGAATATTGCTGCCACATCTAGTCTGGTGCTCCTGCTATGTATTTAGAGATCCTTGATAAAATCCAAAGAAGAATCTGTAATGTTATTGGTCCTGACCTGGCATCTTGGTTTCGGCCATTTTGTCACTACTGTAATGTAGCTTCCCTGTACTTTTTTTTTTATAAGTATTTTCATGATAATTTTTCTATGTTTTATGAATTTAAGTGCAGCACTAGATCGATGGCAAGATCTCATCATTTTGCAGTTGAAATGGCTAGATGTAACTGTAAGTTCTATACCAACAGTTTTTTTTCTTCTCACATTTCCTCCTCATGAAAGTTCTGGTTTCTTGTTTACATTAGTTACATGACTGTTGCCCTCATCTTTATTGCCATATTCATGACGTTGTACACTCCAGCCTTCTTCTTGATTGGAATTTTGAACTGAACGCTTTATTTCTTCTTGACTGGAATTTTGAACTGAGCTATTTATTTCATCCACTGAGGTAGGTTATTCTAGTTCCTCTTCGGGATGTCTCAGTTATCCCCCTTTAACTGCACTCTCCAAGTTTTTTGCTCACTACTGAAATAGCCAACTCAAGTCACTGGGTCTAACCAACACTTTTATCCACTGGGCTGTGGATCCTTGAGGACCAAAAGAATGAAATAAAGCGTTCAGTTTGAAACACCAACCACCTGAAAAAGGCTGGAGTGTACAATGGGTGAAACGCTGTGAATATGGTAATAAAGATGAGGACAACAGCCTGAACAATCTAAATAATGTAAATAATTACAATACATATATAATATATATATATATATATGTATATACAATACATATATATATATATATATATTTAAATGAAAAACAGACCACTTTAAGGTACCATTATAATAATTTATTTCACCAGTGTCTTTTTAAAGGATGCCGGATCATCAGATAGCACTTCCAAAAATGAAATGAAACGAAAAATGAAATTTAAAAGGACTCTGGTGAAATAAATTATTATAATGGTACCTTAAAGTGGTCTGTTTTTCTTTTAAATATTAGCTCTGGATTTACATTGAGCTCTCAGGATTTCATCCTCCTTGGG